AAAAAAAAACTCACGTTTCGCCATTATTGTTGGTAGCATTACAAATTTCCCGTTTCGGATCAGACTTGGCCAAATGATTCGCCAGCACCTTAAAACTAACTATATATTCTGAATCAAAAAAGATCACGGAGACCATCAAAAACATACCTTGCCGCAATCTTCGTTTTTACTCAAACAGCAATGATGCAACGCTGTATTGTTATTGCAATCCTTCCTTGATACATCTGCTCCACTGTTCAAAAGGTACTCTAAACCAATCTACTTATCAATAGAGTTGAGAGAAAAATGAGATAAAGAAAAAGATATGAGGAAAAACTACCAACCAACAATGTGCACCGAGTTCGCTTCCTTTACTGCATACATAAGAGCTGTTGCACCCTCATCGTCAGCCGCTTCCAGTTCCACCCCTTTCTCCATCAAATATTCTACACATTGGTAATGGCCCCTCCATGACGCCAAATGTAATGCAGTTCTTCCACGTGGATCACGTGAGGAGACCAACTTCGGTTCTCTCTGAAACTATCTAGAGCAATGAAAATGTAGAAGTTTGATTAAATCACAATGAGACTATGAATCTGGCCAGGTCAGCTGTGTAGGAGAATAGTAGGTGATGTTGCTAATACAAGCAATTTCAATTAGCCGGGCACCTCAGCTTAGGATCCAACGAGCCAACCAGGTCCCCTACGAATGCCTGAGTCTTATTACGGATTATTTAGTTCATGGATTAAACGATTAGAAGAATTAGATTAGAAACCTACCAGTTCAAAAAGCACTTCAAGAACTGAGGGCCTTAAAATGCTAAAACTCAAACACCAACCTCCAACAAATATATTAAACAAGATAGGTAGCCAAAATATGCAGCGAACAGTAGACCAGCTCGTCCATACGTCGGCAACTCATTTTCTAGCTTCTCTGCTACCGTCGATGCTGTAACAGAGCACAAGTGCGTTGATTATGATTTATCTCTGCATAACACAACAGAAAATTCGAGATCAGTTCAAAGGTATGTTAGTCGGTGAATGTAATAATTTAAGTACTTGCAATCAATTCTCAATTTCCCGTGCCCACAATTACTGGCACATGTATAGTCAAACAGCAAACTCACCACATGTTTGAGAAACGTTTTGGCTCCCACAGACTACTCATGTGAAACTCCACAAGAATTTAGCAGTAGACAAACACTATGGGCCAAACTCTGCCGTCCCCCTCAGTGGGGACAAACACGCATGTGAGTGAAGAGGCACTCATGTATTCACTTCACTACCAAAAATATTCCCATCGAATCCCAAAACATTGCTAAAGGGGATAACTGCGACAAAGCGCTGGCTAATCTATTCACAGTCTCAAAGACCCAGTAGAAGCAGTGTGAGCTCCGGTTAGCTGCTATTCATTTCTATGACGGTGACCTTAATTCCACTCAGGAAACCTCGTTTGCCTAACAGAAAACATGACAATTGAAGCAAATTTCTGATTGAGAGCAGAGGGTTTATGAACGACGTAATAGGACCAGTCTTCCTTGACAATGTTCCTCAAAATTGACGGCAATAAGTTGAGATAAATGAGCAAAATGACTGAAGATACCTTCAGATTGCGCCTTGAACTTCTTCATCCAAAAATTACGTGAAAAGGTACGCTAGGCGCATGACCCGCTTGAAAAGGCCATTGCGAGACGGGTCTTGAGGGTTATAAAAGCGACCACAAATAAGCCTATGTCTCCAGAGGCTTTGGTGTAAACAACACTTCAAAGGAAACAATGGTGTCGAAAAACCCAGAAAGTGACATGTTTCACAATCATCCCAGAAAACAAACGTCACTTCTCTCATCCGTCATTACAATCTGCCACAACGACAAGGATTAAGGCTGGGAGAGCATCAAAACACCATTCAAAAATATTAATAGTAATCTCGTAAAAAGAAGCATTCACATTGTGATAAACAAAAAAATTTGAGGGTCATAGAATGAAAAAACCCGGTCTAACGATCTGCCTTGGAACCCAGCTGGCCGAACAATGTCGATCATCTGATAATGGCCAGCGCTTTCGCTGACATCTGTTCGGTCACAAATCTACTGAGCTTGACAAAGCGCTGCAAAATGCCGAAAAGCGCTACTGCCACCAACATCCGACATTGATGGAGCTAGATTTTTGAGCGAGAATACGTGAACATGAATATAAACAAATATACAACAAACGAAACAGAAGGGAGGCTCCAAGTATCAAGTACCACTCAGCAAATTTATAACAAAAAGTGAATGCCTGCAATGATTAATTCCTAAAAATATGCTGCTTGATCGACATCTCGTCAGAATTATCGAAGCATCCCAGAATAGACATGGGCTTCTTGCAAAAGTTTGATAGCTATAAGCAATGGATATCTATGGTAACATTATCGAAACCCTGAGTAAAAAACAGTGAATGAATAAGAGGACTCTGTAAAAATTCTGTGAAAAAAGCAGTCAGCAAAAAATGGATATATTTGTAACAATTCCCTGAGGTGGGGCGCGTTCAAGACTGAAAGTGCGTGAAGAGTTGTTGTTGACCATTCCAGAATAGGTGGAGGAGGAAGTTGCTTCAAGTTTCTTCAAAGGATTCTCTTTGCTCCGAACCAATTAGTACATATTACTTGAAGGACCGCCGGTTAGATCGATCCCTCGATAATTGTATTAGTGGCAGCACATGGTTTGTTGATTGCTTTCAGAAAGAAAGATCTTCAGCACCTCAACCGATGAAAAGCAGCCATCCAAGGTTTGCTTAGCGTACCTCACACGTTGGTAACTTAACGAGTCAATCTGATCCGTATGAAACCTCCATTAACACCATTCAATAAAATTTAAGAATAAAACACTAGAACAATTCGTCTCGAAACTAATTTGTTGTATTATCCATTATTTTTTAGGGATCAAGCACCTTCCACGAATATGTGCCGCTTGGGCAACATTGGCAGCAGGAAAACCATGGTTTAGGCGGCTTCACCATGTTAGAAACAATGGAAGATGAACGCCAAGTACTCCAGTGGGGTGTTCGCTTCCCATGACACAAGAAAAAAGGCAAAAAATAGAAACAAAAAAATAGTGACAGAAATAGTTGACCAGCCCAGAACACCAGTCTCCATCAACCAAATGGCTGTCATCTGTGCCAGCCTATGGTCACACGACGCTCAACATAGAGGGCAAACCTCCCTCTCCCTTTTGGTCCGTCACGCGATAATCACATCTGTGGCGCCCGACAATGTTTTTTTCCTGTCAATCTTTACGAGAAAAATACACCAATTACTCAACCTCGGACGAAATTGGAATCGATTCGCAATAGAAAAAATTGGTCTGGAACCAACGCACACCAACCTTCACCAAACCAACCATCTGGTCACTAATTCATAGGGAATCGGGGACAGACAACAGATGCATATTTCACTGCCTACAACATCGTCAGTTAAACAACTAGCTCTCACTACATAAAGCTCACACAGATGACGTACCCCTCAACTTTCACTAGCAGATAAATAAGTTCAAACAAATGAATAAGTTTAAAATCGTGCTTCAAAACTCTAATAAACATTTTGGATTTCAGATTTCCAGTCAAAAAGTAAAACCAAACATCGGTAAAGGTTCACAATTGGTTTGCGTTTAGAACGGTCAATTATTACACGAAAAGAAATTTGCTATACCAGTGTGACCCATCGGATACCTTTTGCAACATAAACCTCCCTATACACAATTTACGCTCTCCTAAACCTCGAAAACACACTCTCGAACGGAAGTACTGTACAAGACCTAGTGGAGCGTATTCCTCTTAGGAATTTTATCACTTGATGAACACGGGCACGAAAAATGCAAAAAAGATTGATAGCATTATTCGTTTAACTACCTACCGCTCTCTGATTTCGCATCAGTAGATGATGGCGATCGTGAGTATCCGCTTCCAAGGGCTGAATCGGGACTCGAGCGTCGAGAGATTGGTCTCTCTAGCAGTGTTTCGAGTACAGAAAGCTAAAAAACAGTCATCAAAAGATTCAAGCTGCTGCAGCTAGAGGAATAACCTCTTAAGGACAGTTATCGATAGTTCTCTCTTCCACACACTCAGAGCATACTTTAATACCTTAAAAATGTTTAAAAAACTAAAAACATTAACCGTAAACTGTAAAAACGTTGACTTGCGTAGAAAAATCGCAAGTTATTTATATGAAAGCTATGAACAATAAGAAAAAGGAACCCGAGTCAGCGGTGCCTTTTATAGCAAGACAGATGTGCATGGTGTCGGAGAAGTAATTCGGTTTTAGATAAAAATCGAAAATGGGAGCATGAGCTACGTTGCGTTTCATAACGTAGCAGAACCACAATAACTCAGTTCCTAGGTCAAGGATAGAATTAACCTTATCGCTAAGCGACAACCTGAAACTTTAGTAAGAGCCCTAACCGGATAAAGATTCAGAATCGAACTCATTGTCAGTACTAGTGCATCTTCTAACACATCAGATCGAAGTTACTAATTCGTGAATACAGACTGGAAGCGACCCTAAGCGCTGGCAATACACGGACCACTAGTTATTATATCTCAAGTCCTAACTCATGAAATGATCCCAGATACAGATGGTAAATGCATCAAGGACCTTGAGCATGTTATGAAATTGCAGGAGCAAATTAACATACGAAGGACTGTCGGAAGACAAAATTAGCCCAATTAAGCCATCCACTTCTCCCAGGGCACTCAATTAAGCTGCCCTTATTCAGAGAAGAAAGATCACTTTGGTTATCTGATTACCTAAGGTTCTAAATGGAAGATGGAGACGCCCCGAACATTCATAATCTATCGCTTCAACAAAAATATTGAGTACTACGGTATACGCCACCCATGCAACTCTTATTTAGGACCCCAGAAATGAGTATACTCTCACTTAATAAGACAACCTTTCTAGTAGGGTTACTGCAGAGTTCCAATGAAGCTAGACAATCTAATGACCAACTACAAAGGCATGGGTAGGCGTCTTTTCATAAACTTCGAGCTTACACACCAAAAACTAACGGCTCTAGCGACAACCCACGTATTTGCCATATTACTAACAATAACCGTACCAAAGCTTACTTTGTTATAGGCTGCCGCCCAATCAATCGGTGTAAAACCACGATTATCCGTTGCCAGTCTGTTCGCTCCACATTGGATAAGCATTACTGCCGCCTCATTTTCACCAACTGCAGCCGCGACATGTAGTGGCGTAACACCATTGACATCTCTTGAAATAATGCTCGTAGTTTGAGCAGTTTAAACAAAATTCGGGACAAAGATTGGCAGAAACTCACCGAACATTTGGATTACATCTCTCTAGTACCCTTATAAGTAGTTCTTTATTGCGGGAATAAACTGCTCTATGAAGATAGCCCCGACCCATGTTGTCACAACGCTCCAAATTGCTCTTCCGGATCAGCGGCCAGAACGGTCCCGATAATGACGTCAGAGATAACATGCCACATGATCTGAAGGCCAACGATTGAAAAGCGATGATGCTATGATCACGGAAGATGAACCCTGGGAAAAAGATAACAGAAGGAATAAGTATTTGATAAGCGCTACACTAACTAGTAAGTAACGAATAGAGGTACGATTGAAACCAAGAAGCTACATATAAACGTTGACATACAGAACTTGAAAAATCGTACATCCAAGTTGCCGAAAGCAGTGTCTGGGAAAATCTACCCCACCACTCTCATTGGAAAAGTTCCGCTTCCCGTTTCCTTGTGCGTCCAAAGACCCGGTAGCCCAAAAGAGAAGCTGAGAGGGAAGCAATTACTTTGCGTCCTCAACTCGAGCAAAGGCATCATTACTACTTATCGCAGCGACTTCCCACTTCCTCCCCGCCATTGCAAATCCTGCGCAGTTGCAGTTTCGTAAGACTAAGGGTGAAGTTACAATGCTGGGAATCCGCAGTTTTTGAACAAAGGCAACCCTGACAGAATCTTGCCAGTTCTTTAAAGAGTAGAAGATTCCAAAACATACAACGTTGTACACGAGACAAGAGCTGAAATTCAACACGAAAATATTGGAATTACAAGTCTTCATCACTTGAAACCACAATGAGAAATATTCATTCTTCACTAGTGGTTTTGCTCTTCCTGTTGACTTTAAATAGAAAAATCAGAATCGCTTGGAAACAGCAATGCACGAGCGAAAATGCAAGTTCCCATCATTTCCACTACTTTATGGACCATGGTGAAGAACTGAATGGTCAGAGCTTCTCGGAAAGGGCAAATTTTCTAGCAAAATATGGTATCCTTATACTGCGAAAAACATGAATCTTCATGAGGCATGAAAAGAGGTATCAAGAAATATTAGAAAAGATATAAAAAGGAAATGATATTCAAATGAAACCTCAATATCAAGAGAATAAATTAAAAAGAAAACAAATAATGAAATAAATAACGACGAACCTCCCCTTTGCATCCTTTCTATTCACACTTATTTTGTTGAACTTTCGCAGCACCCAGTCAATACATGCATTCTTTCCGTTTGCTGCAGCAAAATGGAGCGGCGTCATCTCTGAATAACGCCATACCATTAGAAGTTTTATGATAACAAAATGATGTCAATAAAATCGAAAACGATGGGCAAGAACACTGGATTTGAAAACAAATATAGAAATATAGAGAATAAAGAAAATAGAATTTTGAAGATCCTATAGAAAATTGAAAATTGAAAAAAAAGACAAAAAACCCACCTTCTTTATCCCGCCAAGTCAGGCAAAGCTCAGCACCCTGTTGGCTAAGCAATGTAGTTGTTGGATCGAGATGTCCTAAAAGTTTATCATCCTTGAAACACATCGCAGTAAATACTTTATAGAATAAGGCATAGAGAGCAATCGACCCACCATACTTCATCGCGTAATGCAATGGTATTCGATTTTTCACATCCGTATAAGCAAATAGCGGTCGGTCCAGAGATAAACGTTTCTTTGCGGCTTTATCTGTCCGCTTCTGAAAACAGGCTTACTTACACCAGAATTTTCGTAATCAACAAAGCATGAGGAAATGTTTTCGAGAACCCATCAGACCAAACTCTGAAGGGGCCATATAAATACACAAATATTAAACAAAAAANAAAAAATTGGCGTGTAAGTGATATTTCGAGAAGAGGAGGAAAATATTTAGGACAGTTCTAACAACCCAGCACTTCAATCAATAGATATTCACGACCTGATTTGTCGCATTTCGAACACCCTTCAAATATGAACTTTCTACGCTGGGTCAGAGAGCACCTGTCGACGAAATTGGCTACCCAAGGTCGAACATTTTTTGAACTTTCGAATCTTTTCTCGCTAAGGAGAACTTTTAGTGAAAGGAAAGATCACCAGCAAAATGGAATGGAAGCTTAGCTACGCAGCATAGGAGAAGTTGTTGACCATGTTGCAATGTGACAGAATCTTACGACCTTCAAATCCTGTCAATCTTGTTGATCGAGTACTTGTTCAAAAACAGCCGGCTGTTGTTCGCACAGCTTTGTAGTAACAGTCTTTACAGGGTTCAAATCTTCAAGAAAAGCATGAAATGTTTTTTGATGCTCTTTGACCAGATATGAGCACATTTCCTGCTCTAAATGTCAGTAATAATGATCTTCGAGATTTCACAACCAGTATAACGAGTAGTTAATTCTGATCCGAAGCAACTGCTGGGAAAAGCCAAAAAAGTCTTCATATATGTACACCCTCACTGAACGTTTCGAACTCCCCCCACCCCCCTCTCATACTATATTTACGCTACCTGCTTTTAACCCTGACATTATGTATCGTTTTTCTTGTCCTTGGCTAAAGATTCTCACAACGAACTAGACCATTGGCCCATGCCCCTCGTTGGAAATCGTAGCGTGGACGAAGGATTTGCCAAATAAAGAGAGAAACCGAGAGTAAATTGCTTATCGCTATAATATAAGAGATCGTCGTCACAAGAGACGTTTTGTTGCTAATTAGCCTCGGTGTGCTACTGTGGCACGAGTAGTCTGTCCAGCCCTTCACTTTTATCGCACGCGAAGGGTTAGTACATATAAGCTCGCGGTATACGTAAAGATAATGGTGCCGGGGAATTAATAAGCCGTTTGGCAGAGGTCCAAATCGAAAGTTTTTTTTTNTTTTTTTTTCAATGCGCCGTTATCTACCGCCGGAAGAAATCATTAATGCGCTCTATCTCCAAAAGTTCCCCCAACTTGAAGTTGCTGGATTCATGGGTGACATCCTGAGAAGTCCTCCCTCCTGGAAACCGAACGATCTATGTGCGCACAATTGGGAATAATTTTCACAAACAGTTATGGGCTAGTAAAACCAAAACAAACAAAATCAAAAAACGCTAAAACACCTATAGGCTAAAGCAATAATAAAGTTTTCTCGTTGCTAAAGGTTCCTTTCAACGGAGTGCACTTTTGTTGCCGGGAAGGCTTCGATTCATTTCTGTCACTATGATCAAAAATAGCGGTCACAAAGATTACGACGACTTGGTAAGGAACACAAACTTGTTTAAGGTGATCATAACAAAAAACAATTTCGACCTAAATTTCGGCTTCACACAAAGCGGATAATAAGTACTGACTTAGTAAAATTAAAAGCGTGAATATAGCTTCGAGCGCCCACCTTTATCTCCTTTGCGAGGCGAACAAGGGGTTTGGCCTTATTATTCACAGCTGCAAGATGAAACGGTGTGATATCCCGAGGAAGACCCGATGTGGGCATTTCGGTCATATCCTTCATACATTCGAATAACTGCAAACTAAAGGCTAGAAAATAATTACTTGTCTTTCAGAGTAAAACGAAAGCTTAGGATTTGGTTCGTATACCTTGAGGGAGGTTTCAAAAAAACAAGACGAAAAGCCCAAACGTTGAAAATTCAGAAAACTCACGTCTAGGCACATCTGTTCAGATCCAATATAAGCAGCGTAATGTAATGGATAATAGCCATTGAAATCTTGCCGATAGACCGCTTTCGAACCAACATTACACAGCTTCTGAAGTTTAAAAATGCTAAATATCGAAAGTCGAAAATATTGAAAACAAAGAAAAAACAAAAAAAAANAAAAAAAAACCGCCAAAAGCGAGAGAGACTTTTGTAGAAGAAAAGATAAAATAATGAGCTCAACAAGCCGCAGCACCTAACAAAGAGGGTCGCAATGATGAAACAACCCCTGTGAGTGCAAATGACACTTCTGCCTACCGGTTTCCTCTTTTTGAGGTGGCACTGAAAGGCACGGAAATTTCCAATCCAGGAAAATTGGAGTAATTTTCGTTTATGGTGACGCATGCAACCTCGCCTGCACCCATTTTTCTTACTCACACTCTTAGAGGCTCAATTTTCATGTATCATTCATTCTCCGAATTCGCATTACAAAGACGTTCACGTTGCGGAATTACTTAATATTTGCGGTGTAGAAATTTACAAGAAAAAATGCACAGATACGACAATCCGTACGAAAGGAAACATCAGGAAACGTCAAACGACCAAAGCCAACTTCCGCTGTAGCGAAATAAGCTGAATGAGGAGCACGCGATGGAATCACGCGTCACCCAAACAACAATCCACCCCAAACTTCAGCGGCAACAAGCAACAAAGAAACTTTTTAAGGAACAAGTGGAAGTCTAAGTTTGACTGCACTTTTGTGAAAGCTTTGAAAACACGTCAACTATGATCTCTTCCGCTAGAGAGTTTCACGACGGCACCTTTGATGTGGAGCCGAGAACCGGTACTCCGAGCATATCCACAAACTTGCCGACCATTGGCTACAA